AGTTTTTCACCATTGAGTATAATGCTGGCTGTAGGTTTGTCATATACAGCCTTTATTGTATTGAGGAATGTTCCATGGATTCCTAATTTTTCCAAGACCTTCATCATGAAGGGGTGTTGGATCTTGTCGAATGCTTTTTCTGCATCTATTGAGATAATCATGTGGTTCTTATTCTTGCCAGGAGCAGTATTTTTAACTTGTTAGCAGTGTAGGTTTTTAGGTCTGGAATACTGAATGGGATACAGAAGTCTGTATTTTATTTGATTATTATTATTCATGCTAAAGTTTTAGACTAGCAATATAAAGACAAATTAGGCTACTATACAGTTTGTGAAATGCTTTCCATATAAATTATATAGTTGAAATGTTAATATTTGTGCTTTATATTCAAAATCAAGAGAAAATGCCTAGGATTTTATAATTAAGTAAAGAAGACCAATATCAAACAATTTGAAAAGGTGGGATAATGTTCTAATGTACTTGAAAGGGGAAGACTATCTAGAATGGTACAAAAATAAACTATAGTCAAGTAAAGATTAACTTGAGTGGAGGAAAATGAGAGTGTCATAGTCTTGACTACTCTGGATGTTGGCTGGATTTGACATTAATTTGTAATGTACCTGAATTGGCCTTTGGGAAACATCTGAAGGAAGATATTAGTATAACATGGGAACCCTTGTGAACCCTAAGGAATGGGTTGTGGTGTTACCCAAGATTTGTTCAGGTGCTCTTGTGTAGTCAGTTTTACACAGCTAGAAGGCAGTCCGCTGTCCACTTTATAGTTAACAGTTGAACCCAGTTTTTGTTTTTCCTTGTGGGTATGAGGGTTTAATTTTTTCTGAGGGTTTGAGTTTGTCCTTTGTTCAAATGTGTCTTTTTTGTTGTTGTTACTTTTGTGGGGTGACTAAAAGTAGGGATACAGCAAATACATAAATATCAAAATAATGCCTTACAGCATGAGTAATTTTTTTCTTTATATTTTATTCTAGGATCCTTCTGTTACTCAGGTGACAAGAAATGTTCCACCAGGACTTGATGAATACAATCCATTTTCGGATTCAAGAACAGTAAGATTATTCCTAATTGGACTACTCTGCAGTGTTTAAGTAGAAAAAAAAATAGAGATTCTATTTTAACTTTTTTTTTTCTTTTTTGGGGCCAGTCCTGGAGCTTGAACTCAGTACCTGGCCACTGCCCTTGAGGGTTTTTTTTTTTCAAGACTAGAGCTCTACCACTTGAGCAAAGCTTCATTTCTAGCTTTTTGATGCTTTAGATTCCTAGGAACCTTCCTGCCCCAGTCCTTCCAAGCCATAATCCTCAAATCTTAGCGTCTTGAGTAGGCATAAGCCACTGGCCTCCGGCTTCTGTTTTCTTTTTTAATTGCTTGGTTAAATTGATATCAAATACTGTTGATGTTTTGTTTAGAATGTAGCAAGTTAGGTATTTTAAAATATGAAGGCCATCAGTAGTAATTGAAAATCAACTGCTCTAGTGAAATTCCTCACATTTTCTTTTATAATCTGTAACTTAGTACTTAGAGTTCTTAAAAGAGAGAAATGTTTGTTGACTACATGTTTGCTTATGATATGTAGGGTGTTGCTTTCTGACAATGGAAACTTGTGGAACTGTATATTTCTGTGATTGTCTTTGGAATTATGCTATTTTGAATATTATCATCCCTCTTTCTGGAACTTTACTTGGTCTAGGAAAGCATATTTTTCCCTGCAGAATTTAGTTTTGATTTATAGCATGCAAGAATAAGCCGTATAGAAGTGTAATTGTTTGCTACTCTGAATGTATATTAAAAGTATTTAAGGGACTTTCTTACCTTATCATTATGGTCCTGATTTCTTGTGGTTAGAACATATTTTTAAAAGCTCTTGGGGCTGGGAACGTGGCTTAGTGGTAGAGTGCTTGCCTAGCATGCATGAAGCCCTGGGTTTGATTCCTCAGTACTACATAAACAGAAAAAGCCAGAAGTTACACTGTGGCTCAAGTGGTAGAGTGCTAACCTTGAGCAAAAGAACCTCAGAGACAGTGCCCAGAGTTCAAGATCCAGGACTGGCAAAAAACAAAACAAACTCTTGATGATTTTATTGTGAATCAGATTAGAGAGCTTGAGAGGTAAATTCTGTAGATAACTTCTCCAGCAAATAGTTTAGTCTTCTATACTTGCATGTTTATCTTCTTTTAATTTTGGGGTCCGGTCGTGAGGCCTGAATTCTGGGCCTAGGCACTGTCCCTCAGCGCTTCAGCTCAAGGCTAGCACTCTACCACTTGAGCCACAGTACCACTCCGGGTTTTTTTTTCTGCTTATGTGGTGCTGAGGAATCGAACCCAGGGCCTCAGGCATGCAAGGCAAGCGCTCTACCACTGAGCCACCTTTACAGCCTTTGCATGTTTATCTTAGACACTCCTCAGAACCCTAATTAGCCCTAGAAATGTTAACAATCATCTGAAAGATATTAAAATTCTTCAATTGTATGTTTGGATTTACATCTCAGTATAATTATTCATAACTGATTGTCATTCCTTCCTGATAATATTTTTTTATAGTCTAGAAAATAGTGCTGAAAGAACATGGTTTCTGTTTGGAAATTTCTTTAAGATATATTAACTCCTTAGTTTTAGGAGAACTTTGTATAAAGTATGACCAAAAAGAAATATATTTTGTCTTTGTTCCAGTCCCTGCATGTGGCTTCTACAACTTGTGAAATCTCCAAAGTCTTTTACATATTAATGAAATGACTGGGGTGGCTGGTCTCCTAGCTAGCTTTAGAATAGATACTGTCACAGAAAGAACCAAGCATGATTGGAGATTAGAACTTTAAACCTGCCCTTCAAGAGAGGGAGGGGAAGGCCTGGAGATTGCATTAGTCACTAATAGCCTATGATTTAATCAGTCAGGCCTAGGCAGTGAAACCACCATAAAACATCAAGAACTTGGAGGGCTGGAAAGTACCTGATAGCTCTAAGCTGTCACTCATATGTTTTGTCCTTAGATTTCTTCCATTTGACTGCCTTAGAATTATATCTTTTATAATAATAAAAATAGTAATAGCAAATTGTTTTCTTCAGTTATGTGTGGTTCTTAAAAAATCATTAAGCTTAAGAAAGAGCTCGTGGAAACTAGTTGCCAGGTACACTTGCTAACCTGGAATTTATCACTGTATCTGAAAGGGGGCTGAGCTGTCTATACTAGTCCTGCTATGTAGTGTCAGAAATGGACTGAATTTTTTTTTGGAATATAAATTATATTATTTTATTTATTTTTTAAATTTTTTATTGTAAAGATACTATACGAGGGTTACAGTTACATGAGTAAGGTAATGAGTACACTTCCCTATTGAGCATTGTTACCCCCTCCATTGTTTTCCCCCTACTATCCCTTCCCTCCCTACCTTCCTTTAAATTGTGATTAAGTGATTACATAATTTCCCAAATTTCACAGTATTGTGGAATAATGATGCTCATTTAAAGTCACAAGCTCATTCTAACTTTCCTGGAGCAAATTGTCCATCACGTTCTATAACATATAATGGTGTACACATATACACCATACATGTGATCAGCAGCATGGGGCTATTTAGTAGTGGTTTGACCAGATGAGTGGAAGTTCTTTGTTTCTTAAGTCCTGTTAATTTTGTCGTATCACCTAACATTTTGGATTTAACATCCACTTATCAGGGAGACCATGTACCGTTTGTCTCTTTGTTCTTGGTTTACCTCGCTCAACATGATTTCTTCTAGCTCCATCCAAGAAATGGACTGAATTTTTGTACTCAGTTTGTGTCCAGAGAGTTGGAGAATTGGTAGATGGGGAAAATACCAGGTCTGGGATCTTGAAAGAATGTAAGTTATGTTGAAGCATGTGTAAAGACCAGTAGTAGATCAGTTTGACATAAAAGTTGTGATTTCATGTGAATCTATAATGCTCAGAATTTATGAAAATATATTTAGTAGTGGCTGTTTCCAGTGAGAAAAAGAAAGCTGTTACTTCACTGTATGTCTTTCTCCTTATATGACTTCTGTAGAATGGAGAAAGGAAACAAGACTGCTTTTAAAGTTTGCTGACATAGATGGAGAATCATTAGCACCAATGATATATATATATATATATATATTAGGGATATAATAATTGAGAGGACTTCTAGAAATATATTTACTGGTTTTTAAAGTAGCGTTTGAAATTATTTTTGTTATCAATAGTAGTATTTTCTTTATCAACTTGTGTACATTGTATCATGTGATTACCTACATTTACCTTATTGAATTTTTACAACATTCAAAATGAATATTTAAAATTTTAACTTTATAATACACAAGACATCCAGTTAGTAAGCAGCAGTATCTGTTTTTTCTTCCTTTCCTTTCTTCTCTTCTTCTCTCCTACTCTTTCTCCTCTCCCTCCTTTCCTCTTTCTCTTTCTCTCTCCCCACCTGTCTCTTTCTGGCAGGGCCTCATGCTTGTTAGGCAGGTGTTCCATCACCTGAGCCAGGCCCTTAGTCCAGTAACTCTTATTTTCTGTTAAGTTTTTGTCTTTTATATTTTGCTAGTGCTGTTTTTAAGAGATAGAGCCTCAAGAAGATATCCCTGGTCTCTGAAAAACTCATCTAAATAAGGTCTTAACACAAAAACACAAAGAGGATCTTGAAAAAATACAGAAACCCACATACAAGTGTTAAGACTCTGTAGTCACAGCTAGGTTTTTTGAAAAGAGTAGTCCCCCCCCCACTTTTTTTTTTTTTTGCTGGTCATGGGGCCTGAACTCTGGGTCTGGGCACTGTACCTCAGCTCTTCAGCTCAAGGCTAGCGCTCTACCACTTGAACCACAGCGCCACTTCCAGCTTTTTCTGCTTATGTGGTGCTGAGGAATCAAACCTAGGGCCTCAGGCATGCAAGGCAAGCACTCTACCACCGAGCCACCTTCCCAGCCCCTAAACAAGTATTTATATATCTTCCAGCAATTATATAGAATTTAATCTAAATTTTAAAAAAATGAAATGTTACTTTCATATAGTAAATGCCCAAACTACAGTATTCTTAACCAGTGAATATGTGTATGTGTATGTGACTACCAATAATAATGTTTCTTAGTGCTTCTTGTGATCAGCACACATCTCCTCAGAAGTCATTGGTATATTCTGAAAGAGGCTAGTTTTGAGTAGGCATATAGGCAATAATGAGAAGTCCATTTAAAATGAAATATTTCTTTTAGATTTGAGGTATTTCAGAACCAGGAAAATTCTTACGAGAGAATTTAGTACATTTTATGGTGGAAAACCCAGTTGAGATACTAAAAACACCTAAACATTTTTTTTTTTGCCCCTGTATGGTTTCAGAAATATGTCTTTTTTTGTGTGCTTGAGACCATTTAAAAAAATCAGCATTAAATGTACTTGGATAATTGACGAAGGTGATATGCTAGATCTCAGTCCAAATACTGTTTTAGTTAATTGATAATACTCATATTTATTTTAGAAAAGTATTTGTGAACATGAAACTTGTACATCTTGTATGATGGGGTACTTGAGGCCAAGAGGCAAGATTGTTCAGGGGAATATCTGACTGCATAACCTAGAGTTACCTTGTTCTTTAAAAAAAATAAGTTTCTTATTATTTATCGCCATAAAGTCAGGGCTTTTCACTTGCTAGGCAGGTGCTTTATCACTTGAGCAATAGCCCTAGCTCTGTTTTGCTGTTATTTTTTGGATTGAGTCTCCTAATTTTGCCCTGGGCCAGTTTCTGACTGAGATGTTCCTACCTCTGCTTCCTACATCACTGAGATTACAGCTTGTTGGTTGAGATTGGGTCTCACATTTTGCCTTGCCTGGTCACAAACTGTGATCCTCCCAATTTCTGTCTCATGTATTATAGGTATGTACTACTATGTCCAGTCTTAGAATTGGTTTCTTTTTAATAAACATTTATTTGAAAGGTACTTTAAGGTATTTAAGGAAGACTAGAGTAACTATTAATAGTTTTGTAATCTATATATTCATTCTGTTATTATATAAGTTCAGAGAAAGTGTCAGAAGGTACCTTACAATACAAACACATAGTTGGT